AGGGAGGAGTAGTGGCTTAAGTGGTATAGCACCTGCCTAGCAAGCTTGAGGCCCTGAGTTCAAACCCCAGTACCACCAAAGAGAGACAGAGAGAGAAAAAATATAAATTTACAGCTATTAGAATATAATAGAAATATAAATTTATAGCTATCAGAATCATAAATATGATAAACGTGTACCTAATAGGAAGGAATAAAGTTTGTCTCTCTTTAAAATCCAAGAATATTATAAAAAATAAAGACCATCCACATGAAAACAAGCAGGCTATTTATTCTGAACTTGCTAGCAAGGGGGTCAGCCATCATCACTTGCATCTGGAAGACTGAGGCAGGCAGAAAGTAGAGAAGCCTTGTAGCAGGGGAGATAGGGATGGTTATAGATATGCTCTGTGCCCTGCACTGAATGTTTGCTCTTCCCCCAATGCATATGTTGAACCCCTAATCCTAACATGCTGGTATTTGAAGGTGAAGCCATTGGGAAGAAATCAGATCATAATGATGGGATATAATGAATGGGACTTAAAAAGAGGCCAGAGCCTTCCCTCACCCTGCTTCTGCCAAGTGACGATATGAGAAGTCAAAAGTCTACCAGGCACCAGTGGCTCACACCTGTAATCCTAGCTACTCAGGAGACAGAGATCAGGAGGATCACAATCAAAACTAGCTGGAAAAAAAAAAAAAAAAACAGCTGGAGCAAGTAGTTCCAGACACTATCTCAGAAAACAAAACAGCACAAAACAGGGCTGATGGAATGGCTCAAGCCATAGAACGCCTGCCTAATAAGCATGAAGCTCTGAGTTCAAAACACAGTACCACCTACAAAAAAGAGAGAGAGAAAGGGAGAAGTCAAAAGGCTGCAACCTGGAAGTGTGTCTTCACGAACTCAACTATGCCAGCACCCTGATCTCAGGCTTCCTGCCTCCAGAACTATGAGAAATAAATGCCTGTTATTTATAAGGCCCCCAGTGTGGTACTTGGTTATAGCAAACTGAGCTGAGACTGATAGATTGTTGGTCTTGAGAAGAAGGAGGCAGGCTAACTAGAAGCATCCTATGTGGTCGGCTTGGGGAGCATATTAGTTTTTCCTGGTTAGTCCTACATTAGAGATAGGGGTGAAAACTGGAGACTGCCTTTATTAACTGAATCCTGACTTTCCTGGACAGATTACTGCAAAGCAACTAGTTTGACTCGTAGACTGGTTGTTGCAAAGACTTTAAGTGCAGCCTGTAATCCTAGCTACTCAGGAGGCAGAGATCAGGAGGGTCGCAGTTTAAAGCCAACCCCAGGCAAATAGTTCTCAAGACCTTATTTCAAAAATACTCAACACAGAAAATGACTGGTGGAGTGGCTCAAGTGGTAGAGTGCCTGCCTAGCAAGCGTGAGGCCCTGAGTTCAAGTACCACCACAAAATAATAGTAAATCAACTAATAACAAGATAAGGCAATGAAATATAGTTATAATGTTGATTTCTGGCACCAAAGTAGCTTCATGTCATTTAGCATTCTTGTATTACCTTTCTCTTTAACCCAAACAGAATGGCTTGATTCCCAGCCCACAAGGAAAACCCAGCAACCTTCCAATTGAATAGATTTCTCAGGGGACTTTATAGTTCTCCTAGGTACCTTTTGCTGAGTTCTTAGTCTTTGCTCTTCAATTGCCTCTCATAACAAATTTATTCTTCCTACCTCTCTTAGCCACACACTGGACACTGCCTATAACTTAATTCACAAAAATACCATTTATCTAAGACTGTTATAAATAGTCCCCCCTTTATCCATGGAGGATATGTTCCAAGACCTCCAGTCCACTTTGCTCTGGTTATTTTGGAAATGGGAATCTCACGAATTATTTGCCTGGATTAACCTCAAACCATGATCCTCTTATCTAAGCCCCCCAAGTATCTACTGGGAGCTGGCATGAGCCACTGGCACTGGACAATTTTTTTAAATCCATTTTAACTGTTCTCTACATGATATAAATTTATAAAAACCAACTCTCTCTTAGAGTTAACTTGCAAGGATAAATTCTATTTACAATATAAAAATTTTAGTTAAACCATACTCCTGGGCAGAAAGACTCAGTATTATAAAAAAAAAGTGTCAATTCTTTTATATTTCAAAAATCAACGCAATTTCAATCAAAATCTCAAGGGGATTTTTTTTTTTTGCAAATTGATATAATTATCTTAAAATCTACAAAGAATAACAGATAAGAATAGACGAGAAAAAAAAATGAAAGAAAGCCAGGTCCCCAGTGGCTCTCGCCCGTAATCCTAGCTACTCAGGACACAGAGATCAGGAGGATTGCAGTTCAAAGCCAGCCCAGGCAACTAAGAGACCCTATCTCAAAAAAAAACCAAAAAACAAAAAAAGGGCTGGTAGAGTGGCTCAAGTGGTAAGAACACCTGCCTAACAAGCACGAGGCCCTGAGTTCAAACCCCAGTGCTGAAAAAAAAAAAATCAAAAGAAAAAGAGAGGTAGCACATTGCCATATATAAAAATGTGTTATGATGTTAAAAGTGAAATCTCATAGCATTGTTACATGAGCATGCAGATAGACCTAATAGGAAGCCCCATCACTTAGGATTAACTTCACCTGTAATAACAAATAAAAAACCAAAAATGGCTTAAATAAAGCAAGCTGTAGATGTGTAAAAATAGTTTTTTCTCTCCCCTTTATATTTCTTTCCTGGGATTCTCTGTAACAAAAGGAAGACTAACAATAGAAAAACAAATAGGAGTTTATTAACATTACACCTCACATATACAGGTGCAAAAATCCAGGGAAATTAGTAAATCTCTAGAGTATCACTCAAAAAAAAAAGTGATTAATTCTCAGTCTTTGATGCCATTTGCACAAAGGTGAAAGAGTATGGGGAAAGACCCAGTTAAGAAAAGGTGATCAGAAAAAGCATACCAGATAAGGATGAGTTTTCTTATGCAACTTGAAGTCAGCGCCTTCTCCACTGAGAGAATGTCCAGTGTTAGTATCTCTTCTTTCGGTATAAATTTCTCCTATAAAGAGTGACTTTCCAGAGCTTTTCCTATGTTCATAATTTCTCTAATGATTATTTGAGCACAAAATAATCAATACACCAAAGAGACATGTTTTGGGATAGCATGTTACTGTTTTTCTCTCTCATTTTTAGAAGTCAACAGATAAGTAATCCACAGGTAGTAGAAAATCATTAAAGATTTCTTGGAGAACAAGACTGCTTCCATTTTGCAACAACGCTCAACAAATAACTTTACCTCCTGGTCTAAGATAACTGCCAGAGTTCTAATCACCAAATGCACACTGACACTGTCAGAGAGGAGAAGAAAGGTGGAGAGTGCGGCCCCTCTCATTTGGGACCTGTCCTGAAAGTTACATACAGCTTTATCCCTTCTATCTCATTGGCCAAGACATAGCCACATGATCATGCCAATCATCAGAGTAGGCTAAGAAACATAGAGAGATTGAAAGTTTATCACTAAAAATGAAAGGAACAAATAATGTCTCTTCCAGAGAAACAGACCAACGTACACACGAGCACTTAGTGTATGATATGCAGGTGGTATTTAAAATCAGGGAAGGAAGATGTATTATCCAATAAAGGGTACTGGGATGGTTGATAACACTTAGCAGAAAAATCAAGCTAAACTTCCACCACGTTTCTTACATCAAAATAAAAATTCCTAAAGGATTAAAGAGTTGAATCTAAAAATTATAAAATCATAAATAAACTAGACAAAAACATGCAACCTGGAGTTTGGGAAAATCTTATACTTGGCCTATAACACCAAATATAGAATCTCTAAAGGAAAACAAACAATCTGTATGAAAGTTTAAAACATCTCCAGGTCCCTAAGCACCATAACTGATTAAAAGTAACAGACAAATTAGGTAGAAAATGCCTGCAGTGTATTAAACAGCAAAGAGTTAATGTCCTTATTATATGAGATCATAAAAATTAGTAAGAAAAAGATGAGAACCCTAATAGGAAAAGTAGGCAAAGGACATACATTCATTTTTTAAAAATTAAAAAAGGGAAAGGGGCAGAAAGTGTTTAACCTCACAAACTGTGAGAAAGAAATGAAAATAGACATAGTCAAGTGCTATTTTTAAGTATAAACTGTGGAAAAATATGAAGTAATTCATTTACCCAGTCCTAGAAAAGATATCTGGCTGGGTAAAGTAAAATCAATAAGCTTTTTGGGAAGATAATTGATAAATGCTCTGTGTCTCTGGTCTTTATGGTTCCACTTCTAGGATTTTAAAGGAAATACTCAGACATGTGAGCAATGCTGCAGGTACAAGAATGTTTGCTACACCTCCATAGGTATGACCTGGCAACAGGTCCCCTCCTGTCTGCCATCAGGGTCTCTACCTAGGCTTGGGAAAAAGACACTGTAAGCCATATTTTACTGCATTAATGACTGCACTATAATTACTGCTGATTTATTTAATGTGTCTTCAATCTTTCAACTGCACCCCTGCCACTTCCAGTATTTGGAAGAGTGCTATAAACATAAAGCTGTGCCATGGTGACGTGAAAGACTATCTAGTGATACGAGGACATGTTGTTGATAATTTTTTTTTTTTGATAAATGGAAAAATGTTGACCACAAAATCATTTGTCCATGGAATATTCGGGTCTCTGTTAATGTCTGCTCACAGCCTCTGCTCCCAGCTACTTTGTTCTCTTTCCACTCCACTTCATTCCATGCTTCCTTTCAACCAGAGCAATATGAACCCTAGGGTGTTGTTAATAGCAAACTCTTACTGAAAGGCTGAGAGGTGAAGAATAATCACAGCACAGGGCTGGAAATCACTTCACATTTAACAGTAGACATTCCCTGCCCCAGGGAGCTCCCTGCTGGTGTGCTCCTCCAGATACTCCTCCCTTTTGCATATTCCAGAGCTTCTCCCCACAAACCCTTCCTACCTCTCACCTTTCTGCCTCCTGGCCCTCATTTTTCCCAGTCTCTTGAGCTGCCAGCAAATAACTCCACGTTTCCTCCTGCTTTTGTGGTGCATAATTTATTACTCTTTTAGTTTCACCTTCTCTATTCATGCCCTAGAAAGGAGTAGAGGTCAGAGGCATCTGTCATTCACACTTTATGAGGATCATTAGGGATGTTTCTAAGTATTTTTTAAAAGTTTTTCGTTTAGATGAATTCTACCTTCCTCTTGCAGGCAGAAGCAGCTACACTACTGTGAGCATTATGTATAAATATAGACTCTTTTTCTTTATACTTCATATTACATGTGTATATGTATAAAGGCAGGTTCCAAAATATTAACATGTTTATTCTGATTATTGGAATTATAGAAGCATTTTCTTTTCTCTTTGTGCTGACAGGTTTTTTTCAAGTCTTCTGCAATGAGTTTATGTTAACTGTATATTTATAAAAATTTGTACCTCTAAGCAATCAGATATAACAACCAAAAATTGCTCTTTTTGTTACAAAATCAATTCATCTTAGCTTCTTTGACCCTCCCCCTGCCAAGTTCTCACTAATAAACTTAGAATAAGAAACAAGTTTATAAACAATTATAATTAAAGTCTAAAGTATGTACTTCAAAAATGTCAACAGGCAAAGATGAAACAAAAGGCAACTACTGACTAATGGGTAACTGATCCTTAGGTTCAAAATGTGCTTGCAGCCTGTCTTGGATTTACACCATGTATTTCCTGGATTTATGTCATGGTATCTTTTCAGTAGTATTCAATCAAACTTGTTGACATTTGGTAAGATTCATGGCCCATGAATTTTAACCAGAGATAAAATTTGATAAAATCTATCAATCTCGATGTTTAGTTTTCCAAAAATATTTATGTCAGTCATTTATCTACATAAAATACGTAAGGGGCCATAGACTTTTAGATTGAGATCAAATGTGTATGTGATGCACATACTCTGGGGAGTCAGTGTAGGAGGCTGAATAGTGAGCTTCCAAAACATGTCAGTAAGGGACCTCAGAATATGTCATCATTTAGAAATAGGGTCATTGCAGATGAATTAGTTAAGTCCTCAATCTATTGTGAATTTGGAAGAGAAATCAATCTGAGAAAAAGCAGGAAGTATGGTTAGTTGGCAAGAGAGGCGATGCTAAGGTGACATGAGGTTCTCATTTGGGTGTTCCTCGTCATTGAAACAAGGCTGGGAGGAGGCTGTTGAGTAGGAAGTGGAAAGAAGGGGAAAGTTTAGAGCCCAGCACAGTGGTTCACACCTGTAATCCCAGCTACCTGGGAGGCAGAGATCAGGCCAGCCCAGCCAAAAAATTGATAAGACACCATCTCAATTAATAATCCAGGTATACTGGTGATCCCGACTACTGTTAGAGGCCGTAGGTAGGAGGATCTTGGTCTGAGATCCTCCCTAGGAAACAAATGGGACACCCTAACTGAAAAATAACTTAAGCAAAAAAGGGATGGGGACATGGCTCAAGTGATAGAGTGCCTGCCTAGCAAGTGTGAAGCCTTTGGTTCAAACCCCCACACTGCCAAAGGAAAAAGGAGGAGAAAATTAAATTGTTGATAATAACATTAAGTTGGAGAAATTATCTCTTAGGCCTAGATCTTGGATTCATTTAACTCACATAATATAATATTCCCTCAGCAGCCCTGGAGACTGGACAGATGTTGAGGCCTTGGGGATCAGGACTGATAGGTGGCTGAAAAGAAGAAAGCCCAAGAACAGAAGTAGTCTGAGAGAGCATGTCAGCAAAACGAGGCATGTTGTGGGTATTTGAATGGTCTGAGCCTTCATTTCACCACTTCAGGTTCAGCTAGACATCAGCACAGGATGTGTCATCTTAACACATTGAGCCAATGGTACGTGAGTCTGACCATCGATCTCACCACCGGCCTCGCCAATAACTTAGAACCAGAAGATGCTTTTGTATTCAACACATTCTGCATATGAAATATTCAATTCATAAATGATGATACAGGGAACTTTCCCACCTTCAAGGAGACAGAACCTAATGACCCTAGAAATGGGCCAACAGAGTACCTAACTTTGCTGAGCTGACCCTAGGGGAGGTTTGCAACGGGGTTACCAACTCAGTGAAGTTATCTGACTTAAGATGAGTCTAACCAACTCTCAGTTAATTTCAATTGATCATGTAGACTGTTCCCTTTGTGGATTATGAATAGATTTTTCAATCTAGGCAGACTTTTCCTGTCATCTAGGCAGAACATTGGTGAAATGATGTCATGTATTCAAGGAACACAAAGTAATTTAGCTAAAGAAAAACATCTTCTAAGAGGTTAAAAAAAATCTTCTAAGGAAAAAAAAATCTATTGGCTAAACAGGGAAAATGTAAATAGAGTATAATAGTTAGCAACAATAATGTTATCAGTTTGTTTTTATTATGGGTTTCAATAGTGTCACGCTACCTTCAAAGCACTGAGGGCATATGGAGAAGGAGAAGAGGAGTCTAGTGTCTGGGAAGGCAGGAGGAGAGCCAATTGTGAGGACATGGGGCATGTGGAGGAAATTGAGAAGAGTTGGGAATAAACTGTGTTTGAAATCTGAGTTATGTGAGGGGAATTAACATTTGTTGAGCATTTGCCACAGGCAGATTCTGTGCTAGGTTCTTTCCATTATTATCTCTGTGACTCTTCACAACTGGCCATGTAGGAGTTGAATGTGTAATTTTGGAGCAAAGTCTCACTTTGATCTCACTACCACACATGGAGCATATCTCCATTTCACAAAGGAAAATCCAGAAAGGCCAAGTCCCTTCTCCAAGGTCACACAGCTGCAAAGTGACAGGGCCAGGACTGGGACAAAATCTTCCTCTCCCAGAAGAGGGCTCATCCCCATGCCAGAGTGCTTACCCTAACCAGATGGGGTCCTGGCTGAGAAACAGTGATGCTGGAGATGGGCCCAAGAGCTCTGCAAGGGGAGGGCCAGTTCCCACCCCAGGCACCATGCTCATGGGCCTGAGAGCTAGACCACCCACCTTCACAAGGAGGAACAACTGCTTCTCAGCCTCTCCCAGCAGCCCTAAATCCAGTGAGGTCTGAGAGCTAATTGAGTCAGGTCTCCTGAGGCACTTGTTGAAAATGCAAATTCCTAACCCTACTGAGTCAGAATCCCTGGGGATGGAGGCTGGGACACACTATTTTTAAAGCATGATTCTAATGGTAGGTAATTCTAATGTCCACTACAGTTTGAGAGGCACTTCGTCAATCTCCGCTGCTCGGAGAGTAACACCACTGCCACATACAAGGATGACCTCCTCATATCCTCTTACCCCTGACAAACAGATTGATTGGGTTCCCAGAATTCCTTCAGAAATCCAGATAGTCAGGAGACGTCCAGGAAAAGGTCTTGTGAATTGAAGAAGACAGACCACTGAAGGGAGATTATGGGAGATTATCCTATGGTTATGATCTCTGTAGGGTGCTCAGAGTTACAGGAGTGTGAGAAGGATCTGGAGCAGTCAGTCCTCTGGCTCCCCACACACCTTGCACTTGGAGGATATGCCCTGGGAGGTGCTGGAGGCCATATTGACCCCACAGAGGTCTTCTTCTCCTAATTGCACAGCAGTAAGGGGGGGAGGAAAAGGGAGGCTGACCATAACAACATTTCCAGGGAGAAAGTGACGGATTTTCTCTCTCCCCTACAGATACCAATTTCCCTAGAGTTAGGCCCTCCTGTAGATAAGTCAACAGTCTCATCTTTTCCATTGACTGGTGATGAGACCAAGGGAAGAGCTTCAGGTCATTTCTAAGGCTAGATCAGCATGATTCTCCAATTCTCTCTCTCTCTCTCTCTCTCTCTCTCTCTCTTTCTTTCTGTTCTCTGTGCTGGGGAAGCACTGGAGCAGCACCCCTCTTCCCACCCTCTGCCCTGAGTTGCTGTAAACACCATTCCTTTACTAACGTAATTTATCAGCTTCATCTTAGGCCACCTGGACCTACCAGCTCTATACCTCCCCCACCTCAACCAGGGCCAGCAGTGGTACCATCCAGCTCACTCACCTCCTTGGGGCTGTAAGAGCAAGATGAGGAGGAGTTAGAAAGCCCTTCCTATCTCTGAGCCCCATGGACTCACTACCACCACTCCAACCCACCCCACTGCCCACACCCCTACAGCTGGGAGTTCCAAGTCTATAAACCATACAGACTAGTAGCCCTAGAGATGGCTGCAAAGCAGAGAGAGGAAGGGAAACTTTGGTATCTTATATATTAAGTTCTTAGTGGTAATCACCTTCTAACAGAACTGCTAGCCTCCAGCTCCCATCTCCTTACTACTCCCAGACACAATCTTTATATAATTCAAATCTGATTGTGTCTCTCCCTGGAGGAAATCTTGCAGTAACTCCCCAGTCCTTTAGTGGAGGAAAACTGGCTCTTGGGCATAACCTGCAGCCCTGCCTCTCTCCTTTCTTATTTTTCTCAGTTAGAATGTCAGGATTCTATTCCCTAAGCTCCCACCTGATCAAATGCCTGGTTCCAGAGCTTCACATGTCCTTCCCTGACTTCTCACTTGGGTAATTACTGCATGCCCTTTGAGACTCCGCCTTGCCTACAGGGCTGCCCTGCCTCTGCACCACCAGTCACAGCTGCCGCCACCATCCTGAATCTAGCCCAGCAGTTGTCTCTGTGTGCCAATGACCAGTTTTCTTTCTGTCTTTCCCTCCAGACTTTGAGCTCCTTGAAGGCAGAAACCATATATTACTCATCTTTATGTTCCAAGATCTGGCTCCACAAAGGCTGAAAGATAAAACCAGAAATGAACATAGGATGATGTTGTAATAACACCTCTCCTGCTGCCCACCAGTCACCTAGCGAAGGGACCAGTGGCCTTGGTGTCCCCAATGCATGAGCCACCCATCAGTTAAATAACCAAAAACATAATGGATGAAGCCTGTTCTGCAAGAGATGAGTGGGAGCGGTATTGACCCAGAAATAACCAGGCATACATGCATCCTTTTCATCACCTCAGTCGATAGACATATCTGTCACCTACTCCCACTTCCCCTCCATTGCCAAGGCCTCCCCAACCCCAGACTTGCTGTTGTCCCCCAACTGTCAGGAGCCACACCTCGCCTTCTGCCCCCTACTCCTGCTGCTCATCTGGGGTTCCTCTCTCTGGGGCCAGATGGGAGTTTATCACCAAAGCTCTTGAAGGCAGAAGCTTCCATCCCCACCTCCCCAGTCTCATAGTTATATCATTGGATGGGAAAGACTGCTGGTCCAGCCCAGTGCCACCTGGGGGTAAGACTCTTCACACCATCCCTGCCAATCCAGCTTCCCTAGAGTTTTCCCAGCCCTACCCCTCTCTGCCCCTCTAAAGGGAAGCCCTTGAAGACCCAAGGCTATGAGTCTGCAGCCCAGAGAGTACAGGTACCACCCCCAGGAAACAGGCCATAGGATATCAGACTACAGTACCCCTGTCAGGAGAGAGAAGCTACACGCTGGAAACCCGCCCGCCCTCCACTTGCCTGCCAGAAGAGTATCTTTTGAGTCAACCCAGAAAGGCCTACTATTCACTCAAGGGTCGTGATCTCTTATCCCTTCATGTTCTGCAAGATACCTGCTTGGAAATTGCAAAGCTTCTCTAGCAGTAAATTACCAAATTGTTTGCCTGAAGTACACTTGTCTGACAGAGAGGAAGCATCTAGCATACTGCCCCGCATTGTCCACGCCAGACCAGACCTGGGATATTTTACAGCCTACAAGACATTTCAGAGAGTGGGGTAAAATAGTCTGTTTTTGAAGACTTCGGAAACAGGTAAGAGGCAAGGAGCTAGGCAACTTCATAATCAGAAAAGTCTTTGGACCACCAGTTTGGTAATTTTAAATAATGCATACATTCCCAGGCCTCTTCCATACAATCATCCAGAGTTCAGCTGACCTAAGACTTCTTCACTCAACTTTGCCTCAGGCCCTAGGAAAATGTTTGCCTTCGGAGAAAAGATCCTCTCCCTCCAACATTCTCCTTCTTCTCCCTCTTCACTTGTAGTAAGTTGAGGACTCCAAATTTGGAGTGTAATTCAGGGATCCACTGTGATGTTCATGGGCCCCTTCCTCCATTAACAAAAACACTGTTATAGTTTACAACTGTTAGTATAAAGATAAATGGCATGTTATATTTTTTAAAAGAGCAATTTCTTCGTATTTCATCAGTTTTATAGTCTCAAAGAGAAATATATCAAGTTTCCCCTAGTGGGGAGGGATACACCTGTAACAGATTAGAACAGGTGTATCTTGTTTTACATAACTACATGTATTGTATTATGAAATTGTGAAACTTAATCAGAGAACCAAACCACTTGGCCTCTTAAGTACCCAGTTCCTACATTTTTTAAATGAAAGCTTGGACTCATCAGTAGTTTTCTAACTTTTTTAGCTATAAAAATACTTTCATCATTAACTGATTATTAATGACAGTGTTTATGTTTTCACATATTGTCTCATTTCCCTTTCCTGACATCTATCATGGTCATGTGTTACAGTTATGGTAAGGCAAGAAGAGGATAAATAACATACCCAAGATCACACATCTGAGGAATGAGGGAATTCAGACCCAGTTCAATTGCATTTCAAATCTCGTGTTCTTCAATCTTCAAAGTCCTCTCTGTGAAGCAGAGAGGGAGGATTTGCTGATTGAAAATGAAGGTGAGGGCTCCTCAGAGCCCCACCAACTCTACTTTTCACCCAGAGAGCTCAATTCAATTTGAGATAGCCATTTTTTTCCTATTAAAGTTGGGTTTCAACTTAGAGTTCTGTCTTAATTAACTGGCCAAATAACTCTTTTTAAAATTTTTCATCGCAATTATAACATGATTTTTAAATTTTTTCATTGCTCTCTTGGATCTCCCAAATACATCCAAGGATTCCAAGGAGTCTGCAGACCCCAATTAAGAAAGTCAAGTAAAATTCAGCCTGGAGGGCCACGTGCACAATAATGTGGCATATTGTGACATCTACTGGTAAACCATGATATTACAGCTAGTTTACCTTCATAGGAAATAAAACAAAATGGTTAGTGCTTCTTCTAGTCTCATATAACTCAAGATGAGAGAAATTCTTCTCATACAGAGAAAGAATAAGGACAAAGGCCTGAGCCCTGGTCCTGATTCACTATAATTATCTAAATAGATCTGTTTGAGTCGCCGAATCTCAGGACTTTTTTTTATCAAAAAGAACTCCACAGCACTTACAAACATTTTGAAAAATATTCTGTTTCTACCCTACAGACTTGGCCAACCCATATAACACTTACTGTGCCTACCACATATTTTTAGGCTCTGCACTAAATCTTTATGAGCTACAAAAATAGGAGTCCTAAGAACTTACAAGTTAGTTGTGGAATAAAACAAGCACATCATCTACTCATTCTTCAACTAAGCATTTTTGTCCAATAAATTGTGAGATTTTTGTCCCCATAAGATCGTATCTCTGATTTTATAATACAAGTCAATGGGAGAAAGAATTCTTTTTATAGTCAATCTTGCTGGAAGGCATCTTTGCTATAAAACTAGTATTCCAGGAGTCTCTTGGGAAGAGCTGGTGATGGAGCTGAGATCCACTGTCACACTGGGTAACAGTGTTCTTTCTCATGGGAACTGAATGAGATTAAGAGACTTTGTGAGTATTATCTATTGTGTTTAAGCAAAGATATAAGACTCTGGTGTCTCAGCCAAGAAAATCTGCTATAGATCTCCAGTAAGGGAAGACACGTAAAATACCTGCAAATTTCCCATAGAAGTTCATCTTAGAAACCCAGTTGTTTGATCTTTAAACATTTCTACTAAGGCATGGGAGAAAATTTATTATGACTAATTAGTACCATTAAGCATTTTCTTTGGCCTGATATTGTTCTAACAATGTTAGTTCATTTCATCCTCACTACATCTCTGGAAAGTACACTGTATTTTTACCACCACTTTATGGAGAAGGAAAATGAGGCAGGCTGTTATTAAATAACTAAGGAAGCTACAATTGGCTAACTTGGCTACTGCAGACTTTCTGCCCTTGGTAAAGTTTTAAAAGGGCTTAGAATAGCTTCCCCTCCACAGGCCATGTGTTGCCCACAAACAAGGGCTTTGCAATGTGCATCCTACACTCAGCTCTGGGAACAGTAACTATTTGGACAACTGAAGAATCCTACCTTCTGCACAAAGTCAGAGGTAACACAGGCAATGCCCTGAATATTGGATAGCATGGTATACAATAAGAAGGAAATAAAAAGAGAGAATCAAAACATCTCCGACTCTTAGCATCCTGCATAATCTGCCTTAATGCAGTCAAAAGGTTAAATGTACAATATTTTAGAACCTTACCAAATCAGAGATGTCCTCCTTCTCAGGTTGGGTTCACTTGGATGGTGTTAGAGGCAAAGTGACATGAGTTTCAAGGCTCCAACATACATAAAAGAATCAGAATTATTTTATGGTCCCCTTTTTTGTCTATTCAAAAAAGTCCAAGAAGCACTGAATTATAATATGTACAGTTTCCAGATGTCTGAAAAAATATCTGATTAATCTAAGATAATATTCCCTACCTTACCTCTGTCCCCATGCAAGGAAGGTCTGACACCAGACCACAGCCAAGTCCCAAGGGCACAATTAGATAATTCTCAAAGGGAAAGTATCCTGACCTTTCATTTATCTTCCCAATAGTAGGGATAATAAGCTTGAGACTCCCAATCACAACTCATTGCCATCTTACACCACTGAAAGGACAGGTCTGCTCTGATAAATACATTATGCAGCAAGCAAAGAACAAAGAACTTTTCTCAGAGGAATTTAATAATCATCATGTCTTTTCCTTCCTTATTCTAAAATGTATAATTTATCTTGGAAAGGTGCATATAAATTTTAATGCAATTTACTTAGGAACAATAAGCAAAGTAACAATTTGCTAATCACTTTTGTTTCCCAGGAGAAAGGGAAAAATCTTAACTGAGTAGTAAGGGAACTTTGGGCCCATAAAAGGGAATTTAACGAGATCTTCCAAAAGGGAAGTCACCAGGTGTCAGGCTCTTAAGATAGTTATAAAAACTCTGTGATAATGAGACAACCCAATCCTTCAAGCAAGAACTAAAAAGCTTTAGGTGACATTGAATAAGTAGCACAAATCTCAGGACTTCAGGATTAGAGAGATAGACTCCCCTGAGCCGAAAAGAAAACGCTAGGCACAGAATCTCTGGAAAGGAAGATTCCAGAGAATCTTCCCATCCAATACATCCAATGTGTTGCTTCCTTCTACAATATGTTTGGCAAATGCTCAGCCTCCCTTTCTGTTATTCAGAGGCTAAGAGGAAAAGACTCTCTTATTCAACATCAGAAGCAAGGGCTTGTCCCTCAGGCAACTATAAATCCCAGGTAGCATTCAGGCAGTTTCCCTTACAACCTGCTAAACAGGCTGGAATTTTCTCAAGATGTGAACTGGAAAACAGAAGCAGCCCATGCATCTCTACCTTCCTCACCAGGCTCTGGGGGGCAGCATGAATGCACACAAGGCTCACTTTTCAATTTCAGTGTCAGTACAAGTTAAATAAGCGATATTTTCCATCCCAAAGTGACCAATATGGGTCAATTCTTTCGTGATCTGCAGTTAAAATGAGAAGAGCACAAGCACTCCACACCTCAGTGTGACAGGGATCACCAGGTTGTCATTTTGGGGTAGATGGTGCAAAATTCAAACTCCTACACCGTCTTGAGAAGGGAACAGGTACTGGAGTCCTCAAGGAGTTCCAGGTAGGCAATACCTGCTCAAAGGCTTGTTTGTGGCACAGAAATTGTGGGGAACAAAGTAGAGGTAGTGATGAGGTTTACCTTGGGGAGGACTACCACTTGGAGGGGTGCTGCTGTCCCAGTGCCATGACAATTGCAGAGAGAGTCCTTCGGCTGACTGAGCCTCACATACCATGACACTTTTAAGATGGTTATGATGAAGAACATAAAAATGTGTTTCTGTGCCAAAACTGAAAGACCTTCATAGGGACATGTAATCTCTAAGAGAATTCCTATTCATTCCCTCTCTGGACGAGCAGAGACCTTCCATTGTAAGGATGAAAACATGAAGAAAAATGACCAGATATAAAAATAAAGGGGTTAATATGAGAGTGTCAGTTAAACTTATAACATTCATCTGAATTTATTCTAGCAAATATTGAATGTCAAAGATTTTTTAAAGGCTTATAATCATCCGAGTAGAAAACAAAACAAAATAAGCTGTTTGCACTGAGAAATATATTTTTCCTCTACAACCTTCAAAATGAAATGCCATTCAATAGTGAACAGGTAAAAAATTTGTGTAAGGAAAAATGATACAGCAGTGAAAATGAGTGTCAGCCACATGAGTCAGCAGGGA